GGCAGAGGCAGAGGCAGAGGCAGAGGCAGAGGCAGAGGCAGAGGCAGGCAGATCTTTGTGAGTTTGATGTTGGCCTGCTCTATGCAGTGAGTTCCAGGCCCTACATGGTGAAACTCTGTCTCAAAACAAAAGAAAAATGTAGAAAACAAATAAATTGCCGGATGGTGGTGGCACACGCCTTTAATCCCAGGATTTGGGAGGCAGAGGCAGGTGGATTTCTGAGTTCGAGGCTAGCCTGGTCTACAGAATGAGTTCTAGGACAGCCAGGGCTACACAGAGAAACCCTGTCTCAAAAACAAAAACAAAAACAAACAAACAAACAAACAAACAAACAAAGAAAACAAATAAACCCAAGGGTACAGCTGAGCAGTAGAGACGCTTGCACTGACAGCTAGATCTTCCCACTACTGATAAATACATAAACAAAGCCGCCCAATCTTTTCAATATTCTATCTAGAGGCATCCACAGCTTGATCCACATATACATTAGGTGCCTTTTCTCTTTCCTGCAAACTAATTTCTTTTCCTTTTTAAAAAAAAGTTATTTGTTTTATATATATGATGAGTACACTGTTGCTGTCTTCAGACACACCAGAAGAGGACCTTAGATCCCATTACAGATGGTTGTGAGCCACTATGTGGTTGCTGGGAATTAAACTCAGGACCTCTGGAAGAGCAGCTAGCGCTCTTAACCGCAGCCATCTCTCCAGCCCCTACTGCAAGCCAATTTAACTAATTGGGTTTTTTTTTTTCTTTCCAGTCTCTGAATTAGGTGCAGCTTGCAAAGCAATATCCTGTCCTTGAATACTATTTTTTGCTAACAGATTCCTCAAGATGGAAACTTTTTCCAGGTTCCACCCCCAGTGCCACCCCAATGCCTTAATTTGCCTTGGTTTTGTTGTGTAGGGGGACCCCACCTGAGGATATGCAATTACACTCCTTTGTTGAATGCTGTTTAAAAAGCCACCTAAATTTTACTGGTACAGTAGAGCGGCATTTACTTCTTTATATATAATTACTAACAATTTTGTAATTTCTCCAGCATTTACTGGAGAAAGCTTATCTTTTTTCCACATGGCATCAATTGGGACAGCTCACCTGGGGCTGGAGGATTTGTTTCCAAGACAATATGTTCAAAAAGGTTGGCCAATAGGTATTTGCCCTCTCTGCTGAGACTCTGGCTGAAGCTGGAGGCTGGGAACCTGATTTACTTCCTTGTCTGGTCCAGCCCCCTGGCTGCTTGTATTTCTTGAAATGAGTGAGAGGATTTTTTTTTTTTTTTTAAAACTGTGGAGATGATAAAAAAAAAAAAAAGGGGATATCATACAAAATTTATATATATTTAACCCCGACGATGTGTTTAAATAAATAACAAAGGATAAATTTTTTGTGTTTTTTCCCCAATTAAAAAAAAAAAAAAAAAAGAAAGAAAAAAAAAGATGGCAGTGAACTAAGGAAGAGTTGTGTTGTCAAGGGTAAAGTAAAGTCAACAAAATAGCAATTGGTTCGAAAACTCTGGATCAACAAAGTTAACAACTGTAACACTCATGGTGGGTTCCACAGCCTCCTGCCACAAAACGTTATCAAAGATAAATAACTCTGCCCCGCAAATAGTCCCCAAATAGACCTTTCATGCCTGCAATTCCCAGAGACAAACGTTTAAGACATAATTACGGGTTTGGATTTCTTAAAGCAAGTCTCAAAAGGAACCACTGCCAGAGTAGTGATGATGAGTCACGGGGACCACAGGTGCACACAATATTTCCCTTTCAACCTGGTATGCAACCTTGCAGGCCAGGCAGAAATACGGCAGAACAAGAGGCAGGTGAGAGGGCAAATGTCTCCCGGTCAATAGCCCTGTTTTGCCGGGATATAAACTCCCTTTGTTGTCTTATAATTCTTCGCATGCCTGGCAACTATCAGCTACCATCCGAGCCCTCAGTCTTTGAAACTTCATCCTTGAAATAGTAAATAAGTCATAAAGGTCACGTATAGCCTGGCTGAACACGTAACTCCTGAATCTTCTCTTTCTCCTTCTTCCCCTCTCCTCTTTTTCTACGACTGGAACCAGTGTATAGTGAAAGGCAGCTTTCGGATTTTCCTTGGGTTTTGTTGTTATATGTTACTGGATTATTTTCTTCCAAATAAGTACATATCATTCCTTTAATGAAAGGATAGAAATGAAATCCCTTTCTTCCAGGCATATTATGTCACCCTTGTACAGTGCGCTAGGACAGTATGTCTGCTGTCTCTGACAACTTTATTGCCTTATGGTGTGATTTTTGCATTTCTCCTTTCTTTCTTTCCTTCTTTCCTTCTTTCTTTCTTTCTTTCTTTCTTTCTTCCTTTCTTTCTTTCTTTCTTTCTTTCTTTTCTTTCTTTTTTCTTTCGAGCCAGGGTTTCTCTGCGTAGCCCTGGCTGTCCTGGAACTCACTCTGTAGACCAGGCTGGCCTACAACTCAGAGATCCGCCTGTCTCTGTCTCCTGAGTGCTAGGATTAAAGGCATGTGCCACCACTACCTGGTGTGTTTATTTATTAGAAATAACAGTGCCTGTTATGTGTTAGGCACTGTCTAGATCCTGGGAACACACAAAGATGCCAGGCAAGGTTCCTCCTACAGGAGTTATTTATTTTTTTTCTTACACCAGAGGTTGCTAACTTTGTAACAAAAGACAAAGTTCTGGTTTGACTTCAAGATTAAAAAAAAAAAAGTCAGGTTCTACATCTGGAATTAAGCCACTTTTTTTTTTCCTGGTGAGAGAAGGGAGATTCTCCCAGCATTCTGAAACCACACAACCTAATCTACCTTCTTCTAAATGGGTTCCGACTGGAACCATTAAGGACCAGCTTGTCATATTTTTTTTTCTTGGGTCCTTGCCAGGCTCCTGCAAAATAATGTCTCTCTGTGGAGAGTATTCAGTAACAGACAGGAATCGCCAAGGAGGGCAAAGGGCTAGTTCTACTGGCCGGTTGAGCCACCTAAACCCACCACTCCCTTATCGCTCAGGAAGACACTGCCCCCTCGTGGTTCCTCTTATAACTGAATGAAAAGCCGATCGAGCGAAGAGCTGCCAATCAACACAATCAATAAATCAAAACGCGGACAAAGTTCCCGATTAACTGCAGTTTTGCTTCTGAACTTTTTCTACCGATGTTCTAAAGACTCTCGGTTCATTTCCTCTCAGAAGGCACCTTGGTTCCTACAGAGAACATTATGACAGCAGCTTAAAACATTTTCTTTTTAGAAACTTTCCCACATCTCCAGATTCTCCTGGAAGAAAACTTATGATCTAAAACCGAGTATCACTATGGATCTTCACTTCGCAACGCCTTTAAAAGCAAAAGAACAATGTTGCGTGTATTCTGCTTTTTATAATTTGAACCAGGAGTCAGCGATTACGTTGCCTTGGAGTTGTTTGGGGTATCTTGTCTCCAGAACACCACTTTGAATTGCCTGAAGGCAGGGCCTTTATCTTCAGCTCTCACCCGCCCCCGCCTCACCCCACCCCCAACCTCACTCAAAGCAGGGAAGGGTAAAGAATGTGGAGTAGGGAGAAAGAGATAAAACAGTTAAACCAAGCCGTAAATGAGAAATCGTGATTGGTGTAGCATGCCAGACAAACGTCCTCAGAGACAGGCACCATCCACTGAATCGTGGGTTTTAAATGTCTGTCCAAACTAGTCAAAGTTTAGAAGTTTTCAGGGTCTATTGTTGGAAAAGTTCTGTAGGACCAGGAAAATGGAAACTTCCTTAATAATAATGCTGGCTTCCGCCTATTGTAAACCACAGTTGTGCAAGTATGAGTATTAGAAACGGAGGCTCGCCCCATCTATAATCTCTAAAACCCTGGGAAATTATATACATACATATGTATATATAATGATTATAATATGTATGTATATATATAAAATCAGTGAAATGGGAGAATATGTACTTATGTATGAAATATATATGTATGTATATATATTCATATATATTCATTTCAAAGATGAGGAAATGGAAGCTATGCGGTCATACGGTGTTGGGTAATTGGTTTGATTCTCCAGAGATAAATGTCCTGACCTTTGAGGGGCAGTGAGAGATATTCAGTCAACAAGTACATATTGAGGGCCTACTACGCTCCAGGTAGCCTAGTTAAGTTGGGGCAGAGTGAAAAAGATAAACAGGACGCAAGTCTTGTATTCCAGGAAGGGGCTCCCCGAAGAGTGAAGTAAACAAAACAATTCCAGAACAGTCTGGGCCCGGCTGTGCGAGTCTGAACAGGGGCGGCCGGAAGCCTAGAGAGCGATAGCGGCCGAGGTTGGGGGGGAGGCTGGGGCGGTCTCGCCGGACCCGGGCACCCGCCGTGGGGTGGCAAGCGGTCTCCTGCAAGCGCTGGGCTCGGTGGTGGGCTGTCCCTCATGTCCGTCACCTTTCAGCTCGGGAAGAACCGAGTCTCGGCGGGTACTGCCAAGGAGGGTGGGTTTGGGTGCACATCCGTCGTGAAAAGCAAGCAAACAAAAGTAGCGCGCTCCAGTCCGTGCGCCATCCCCCCCACCAAAAGGGTTGCCCCCCCCTCCCCGAGTCCCCTCTCCAAGCCCACCGCCCCTGGCCTGCCCGGACCCCTAGGTGGGGGGGGGGGTTGAAGAGAGAGGGGGCGGTCCCGATCTTCCTCCCGCGGTCTCCGCGGCCTCGTGACCCCGGTGACACCCCCTCCCAGCCCAGGCCAGCCCTGGGGTCGACCGCTCCGCCCCGCGCCCCTCCTCCCGCGGGGGGCTTCGCCGTCCCGAGCCGCGTCCCTCTGGGCTGCGGCCGGCCGCGCACGTCCAGGGAGGGCGGAGGGAGGAGGGGAGGGAGGGGAGGGGAGGGGAGGAGAGAGGAGGGGAGGAGAGAAGGGAAGAAGGCGAGAGAAAGCGCGCTGCGTGCGGCCCCGCTGCCCAGAGCCTGCCAGCAGCGCGCCCTCGGCGGCTCCGGTCCCAACCGCGCCCGCCGCCTCGCCTCCTCCGCCTCGGCCGCGTCCCGACTCCGGGGCTCACCCGGCCTCTCGGAGGTCCCCGCCCGCCCCGGCTCTCCGCTGCGCTGCCCGGCTCCAGCCCCGCAGCCCGCCCCGCGGGGAAGGTAGCAGCGGGCGAGCGCGCCCTCGCCTCCAGCCCCGCGCCCCAGCCCCGCGCGGCGACGAAGGACCGGGAAGATGAACGGCGGCGGCAAAGCCGAGAAGGAGAACACCCCGAGCGAGGCCAACCTTCAGGAGGAAGAGGTACTGAGGGGGACTGGCTGGGGAGCGCGGGGCGCACGGGCCGGGGGTAGGGTGGGTACCACGGGACGCCGCGTCCCGAGGACGCGGGGCTGGGTCCCCGCGCGTCCGCGTGCCTCACATTATTGCATAAGTTTTGAGGACTTTCCCGAGACTTTTGTAAGTAGAATGCTCAGCTTTGTCTGCCCGGGATGTTGAAAGCGGAATCGAGAGCTGACTCCCGGATGACCTCAGATGATTGGGACCAGGGAGGGTCAGGACTTGGGTTCTGCGTCTTGCAGCTGGAAGTTGGAGGGAGGGGAGGTATGGCGAAGGAAGAAACTCTGGGAAAGTTCTCGGTAAAAGATACTTCCGACCCCAGCTCCCCTCCCCTCCTCCCTCCCTCTCGGTGTTAAAAGTTCTGGGTGAAATATCTTCTTAGCTGAGACATTTTGGATTAATAGATAACTCATCAGCCGCATTCTTCTCCGATGAGTCGGAGACCCCCGCCGAATCTGGGAGATGTCGAGTGTGGGGGTTGGGGGGAGTAGAATAACAAGGGCTAAAAGAAAGCTTTGGGTTCACCAAAGCAAAGGTGCGTGGAGGGTGTTTTTCTGGGGGGGGGCACAATTTTATGTGGCACACTCAGAATGATGATTAAAAACACTTTGCGGCTGTGGTGCGTTTCTTATTGAAAACACCGGTGTGTGTTTTCATGGGACTCGTGAATTTTGTCGGTTTTGTGATATCCTGCCTCGCCTTCGCTTCTGCGAGTGGGTTATCTGAGTCCTGGAAATTGTATTTATTATCTTTTCTAAGGTCTTCCAGAATTGAGTGTGCACTAGCAGGAACTGCCCATCCCACTATAACGTAAAAAGAGTTCTCACAGGTAATTTACAACAACCCGAACAGACTCTAAAGCAGTTAGGATGGTGAGGGTATTGAGACACTTGTGCAAACTTAAATACCGAGAGTGAAACCAAACATTAGGAAAGAGTTTATCCATCCACCCAACTCTGACCGGTGTGAACTATCCACTGGTAAAATTGGGAACAGTTTAAATGGGGAAGACTGGAGAGATCCAAACATATGCAAATAAATGCAAAATAGATCTTAGTCACCACAGTTGTGAGGTGGTGCGCCCTAAATGAATGGAGGAGCTGAACATTGCCTCGCCACCTGAAAGAAGTTACCTATTTATCAGCAGATAGGGCTTTGGGAAGTTTTGTGTAGGCTGTTTTATAACAAAGCTGGCTGCGAGTTCCGGCCGTTTTTCAGTTTATTTCCTGACCAGTTAAACTTATTAAAAAAAAAAAAAAAGACCCGTTTGCTTTTTAAGGAGTTGCTGGCGTTAAACATGTTTTAATTACACAAGGTAACTCATGTATGATCAGCTAGTACCTTTAGTTCTGCTAAAAGTAGGATCCTAGGAAACTGTCTTTGTTTCCTTTATCTGGTTCAGAAAAGTCATTACTGGGAAAAGAGCTCTTAAGAACAACAAAAACAAAGTTTGGTCCTTTCAAAATCATTTTGGAAGATAACCCCATAGATTTTTGTTTTTTGTTTGTTTGTTTTCAAGGTTTTAATACAATAGATTTGTTTCCAAGTCCCATACCCCCTTGACTTAAAATTATGGCAAATCAGTTTTCTCTTGATCCATCTTAGCTGAAAATGCTAAGGCCCGCTACTCTGGTGATCGTAAAGGCCAGGTTGCTGCAATCATCTGCCTTATTTGCCTTGTCCTGTGTTCCCAGTCAGGTAGGAACAGCATGTGATTCTGGGAGATGTTAACACTTTCCTAGTTAAACAGGTGTTATTTGAGAAGTGAGACCCAGTAGGGAGATTTCAGAGCTTAGGTTGTGTACTGGTGGGAGTGTATAAAATACAGACACTGTCAGAGGTGAGCATTAATTACTTGACTTTTTTCTTTCCAGTACTAGGAAATGAACCCAGGACCATAGGCAAGGCAGGCAAACACTCTATCACTATTTTATACATTTTGTTTATAAGTAGGGTCTTCCAGGTTGCACAGTCAGGCTTTGAAATTGCCTTCCTGCCTAAGAGTACTGGGATTAAAGGCATTTGTCATCACACTGGCTAGCTAGCATAATAGAAATAAGTACAAGGAAAGGAAAGAAAATTGGTCTGAGTGATCCAGGTAATTTTATCATAATTCTTTGTTGTCTGTGTATACTTGGTTTTTTAAAAAATTCTTACCCCTTTCCCCCCCATAGCCCTGAAAGCCACAAGTAAAATAAATAGAGTATTTGGTGTGTCCGGTTAATGTGCTTGTCATTATACAAAACCACAACACTGGACCCATTCCCTGCCCACCCAGTGGATCCACAATTTGTTCCGACACATCGAAGAGCCTTGGAATGGACTCTGGTAAACGGAACACACACACACACACACACACACACACACCCCATATATACATACAGGAAGACAAGAGAAGAAAATATGCTTGTAATTTCTGGTGGCCACTGAACTGAGTTAGAAAAGTGAGTCCAACTGTCAGAGCAAGAGAAAACAGTTTGTCACATAGATCACCGTGGATTTAGACTTTCTCCTCCATTGGAGAATTCAAGGCTTTCTTTTTCCTTTCTATATTTGGAACCAGCTCTCCTTATCACCCAGCATGTTAAACTAACTTAGGGTTAAACGAAGCCTCTAGTGACAATAATGACACTGACAGTGCTCACGGGGATACAGTTGTGCCGACTTAAAAATCTAGGATTTAGGAAAATTTCTACGTCTTTCTGTGGTTGAAAAGTTTTTGAGAGTGTGCAGCTTTGTATATAGCTCTTAAAACAGAGGAGAGTAATTTTAGGATTTTGCAGCTGTGTAAGAGATAAAACATCTGGCTTTCTAGTGTGCTATGTGTGTCTGCTGTTTAGCAAGTTTTTCTGCAAAGACAACCAGTTGTCAATCTTACTGGGACCTGAGAGTTGCAAGGGCTTTGTTTGTATGTGCAGAGCGTTGGATGATTATTACATTATTTTTACAATTAAGAAAGCAAGAAAGTAATTCTGGCAGGAAGATTGAAAGTTCAGAAGCAAGTCTTCACACATGGGAAGGCTCTGCTTTAAAACAGAAGTTTTTAGTTGAGTGTGGTGATGCCTTCATTTTGTAAGGCAGAGCCAGGTGGATCGATGTGAGTCTGAGGCTAGTCTGGTCTATGTAGCTTGCAAGTTCTATCCCAGTCAGGGCAACAGAGTGAGATACTGCCTCAAAAGCCTTTTTTTTTTTTCTTTTTTTTTTTTAGTTCTTATAATGTCTCCAATCGTATAAGCAGATTTTAATAAGTATGTAACTAGTAAACTCGTAATTTGTAGTAATTAACTATCATTAGTTTTAATGTATTCAAACATACTGATCCTTTGCGTCTTACGGGGCCTATTGGTGAGTGTCTTGGGGGGCAGGGAATGAGATAAAGATGTCATTTTGGTTGTATTTTAGATTCATTCATGTCATTGGGTACTTTTTAGGTGGATCACCTTACGTTGAAGCAGTTTAAAATACATCTCAGTTCTGGGAAGGCAGTAATAAGGTCTAAGTAAGAGAAGCAAGAGATGGCAGCGTAGCAACAGTGGTTGAGGTGTTTGGCAGAAATGGTGTCAAGTCAGATCTTAAGAGGGTCATGCAATTTTTACTTCAGGTCTTTCAGAGTGTTTAGTATTTTGCCAAAGCATTGAGGTTGTTAAGTTTTTTTGTTTTTTTTTAAACAATTAGCATAGAGAAAAGGCAATGTCAGTGATGTGGTAACTTGACATTAAGGTTACTTGACATGGCTTCTGGAAGGATCCAGGGGAGTTTGGTACAATTTGACCTATTGTTGCAAACCAAATCTAATACAGTAAATATGTTTCAGTCATGGAATAGGATTTGGTAACAGAGATTTGGATGGAAATGTGACATCATCTGGGGACGGTGTCCCAAGAGTACTGCTAATATGGCTTGCATTTTTAGGTTGCTTTGCCAAAAGTGGTTTTCCAGTTTCTCTGATCATCTGGCGAGTCCTTGCAGTACATACTCTCTGCACTCTGACTCCATCCTTTGGTTGAAATACAGGCTTCTTTGGAGACACTTTCTCAGACTGTTTGTGAACGATCCTGTTTTCTGCTAGACTTATTGTTACCAGGAACATGGTAACATTGATGAAAATTAGCGCCCTGGCTCTGAGGGGCTTTGGCAGGAGGCATCAAAATACCTTCTGGCCCTTTGATTTAGTGCCTGCATTGTTAAGAATTTACTCTGAGGAAATAATGTACTAAAGGTCTCTTTCTAGGGTTGATTATTGCGGAGTTATGTTTGTGAAAGTTCACAGAAACTGTTTAACAAAGGGGAATTTGCTAAATTATATAACTTCATAGGGGGGGTGTTATGTAGCCCTTAGAGGGTATGTTCTGTAGAACTATATATTTGTTACATACTGTTTTTGTACATGTAGGATATATATGTTATACATATATATACACACTATATGTATTAGAGTATATAATATACATATATGTTAATAATAGACTCTCTGAAAGCTAAAAACCTGAAGGCAGCGTCCTGGCAGGGTATTGCTTCCTGGAAAATTTTAGGGAATAGGCAGTGGGCTCTAGATGTCCTGAGGTCTGTGTTTTTATTCTGCAAACAGGAGTTTTCAGGTTTTAATAGTTTTTTTTTTCATTTTTTTGATATTATAACCACCTTATTTCCATCTTCCCTTTTTCTCCCTTCTAAAAAAGTTATACATAGAAATAAAATGTAATTGGTGAGTCACATACAGACCATCCTGAAATTTCTCCTGCATTTCCATAATGGTTGTATGAACAAACGACTCAATGCCTTGCAGTTTTTAATTTCCTTTCTGATCCATGTAGGGGTAACGCCATCAGGTTGGTCGAATCTGGCTTGGGCAGGACTCAAGCCTGTTCTGTTTCTCAGGGCCCTTAATCAGCACAAATCATTTTAGTGATCTTCAGCTGCCCTCCACGTTCGTTCTCACATCCTTTCTCAATCCAACCTGATGC